TTTTTAAACTCACTGTCAAATTATCTCATGCAATGCTGCAGACTTGGGCTTACTTATTGTCTTCTGTGGCAGCAATATTCCTGTTGCCAATAATGGCTGCCATGTCAACTAAAGTAGAACAAAGTGCTCTTGGTGATGGGCCAGGGAAGTCAGCCTCAGGAAGCACAGCAGTCAACTAGCTCCCTTTCTGCAAGGGTAAATAGCTTGCAAAGTCTATTCTACACGAAAATGGAAAGAACTAAAAATGTAGCCAGTTGTTCTTTTCTTACTTTAACCTTTAACATTTTTAAAGACTTTATTCATTTAGAGTAATTCAATTGTATCCAAAGTGTTCCAAATTCCAGAACAGCCTCTCTTGCGCCCAGTCTCTAATACCTTTTGCATCCAGTTAAAATCTATCATTAAAAGGAAGTCAAAAAAGGTTGTACTATAACCTTTTAAAATCATCAACTTTCCTCAGACTTTAACATTACCAATTTTGAACCCTTTCGACCACCTATGAGTCACAAGCACTTGAGAAGATTTCAAGGAATATTACTTTCTCCAACACCCTGGATCCTTTCCCATCCGAGTTTGAACAGTTCCGGGCGTTGTTGTCAAGTCCAAAGTATTTGGTGCGGTAGGTTTTTTGATGTTGTTTTTTCTGTTTTGTTTTGTGACAACCTTGTCTCCCTTGATCCAGGTTTAAGAGAGGCTGGAAAGAAGATGGGGAAGGGAATGGGGGTCGGAGTGGGACTGAGACAGAGAGGGGAGTCTGATAGCCAAGCTGAAGGAGAGAAATGTACCTTTCAACCCTTCTCGATAGGAATCGTGAACCGAGGTTAGAAGATCAGCAAAGACAGGGATCGAACTTCAAGTTCAAGGGCTGAGACTAAACTGGAGGGTAAGATGGGCTATTATAGACAAGAAGTCATAACAGAAGATGTCTCTGAGGAGTAAAGGAGGGCTGTGCAGGTGGGGGGCGCAGATAAAACCTAATGGGATAAAATAATATCCCTCATAGATGCATGGAAAGGTGGGGGGGGAGGGAATGGCTAAAGGAAGGAGAGTGTCCAAATGGTTCACTCCCGGCAGAAGACGTACTCGGTGTAGCTGGTCCAGATCTTGTCCTCGCTCTGGTCCGTACTGCTGGCAAAGGCGCAGGTGCCCGTAGAGCTGCAGGCCACCATGTGGAAGCCGGACTCAGAAAGCTTATCGAAGGCCTGCTCCAGAAAGTTGAACTTGAGGTAGTAGCGAGAAGTGTAGCGCTCCGGGGGACGGTCAGGGTCTCGGCTCTCGTTCAGGGTCTCCCCGAATACCTCTTTAGCCAGAGATGTCTTGCCACACACTGTAATCCTCGCCACCCGCCGGAACTTGGCGTCCGCCTGCGCGTCCCGCCCGATGGTGTAGGAGCCCCGGTAGCCGATGGTGATGTAGCCCGAACGCCGGCTGCCGTCCAGGGACTGGGATGGGGTGAGCAGCGGGCCCCCGGCGCCCCCAGACGGGCTGCGGCTAGCTAGGTCCAGGGTGGGTGAGGGCGCCCCTGCCGAGGCGCCCTCTTGCTGCTCCGGGTCCAGATAACCCAGGGGCAGCAGCTCGTCGCCTCCGCCCCCGACGGATCCCTCTTTGTATACCCCACGCCGAGAGTGGGGCGGCGGCGGGCCCGGCCCGGGCTGCTGGGGAGCCCCGAGGCGGCGCACGAGCTCGGGCAGCTGGAAGTACTCAGCCTCCCGCTGCAACCGGCTGCGCTCGGGGAAGTAATCGGGAAGCACAAGCTGCAAGTCTCGCAAGTAATCCAAGATGTAGCGGAAGAGAAAGCCGTCCCGGTCCAGAAAGAAGCGACCTTTGCTGTCCCGGGCCAGCTCCTGCGGCTGCTGCTGCGAAAACATACGCCAGCAGCGAGTCCGGCACTGACACCACGGTGCAGCGCCGGGTCACATATACCTGGCCCCCCACGTTCAGTTCCACGATCTCGGGAAACAGAGGCGGCTCCGCCGAAGACGACGAGGAGCCGCTGCCGCCCCCCGCCGCCGCCGCCCCCATTGGGTAATCCACGTGTGCTGTCCGCCAGAGCCATCGAGAAGACGCGGGTGGGATGGGGATGGAGGAAGTGGAAGAGAAAGAAGAAAAAGAAGACAAGAAAAGAGGAGGAGGCGCTCGGGAGAGCCTCCGGCAGTCACCTCCCAGAGACGGGATTTGCAGTTGATGCCCCAGCCCAGCGAAGAAGAGAGAGCTCCGGAGGTAAAGGAGAGCGCGCAGCTAGTGCGCCCAGGCGTGGGCAGCGTTGTGCGAGTCCAGCGCACCACCTTTCCCCGTGGCTGCGGGAGAGTCCCGGGCAGCGGCCGCCCGCTCTGTGTTTATGTAGAGCTGCCCGCTGCCGCCGCGACTCCCAAGAGGCGTGGGTGGATGCAGAGCTGCGGAGCCAGCTGAAAGCAGCTGAGACTCGGGCTCCCTCCTCACTCCTAGGGCAGGGGAGGGGGAACTAGAAGAGGAGGAGGCTGTCGCGGAGGAGGAGGGGGAGGATGGGGAATATATTTGCATGTTAAACGCTGACGTTGTGCCTTTCTCCAACCCCACCGGGCTCGCGGCTGCCAGGGCTGCTGCGGTGACCCTTCGGTTTGCCCTTCTCTACTCCACTCTCCTTCCCTGTTCCGCACTCAAAATCTTAGTAGAGCTGCGCTCTCACTCAACTTTCTTTCTCTTCTGTAGTGAAGGGAAAGAGATGGGAGAGGGAAAGTGGATGGCCACAGCAGTAAAGGGGCGTGGTCCTGTGATTGGATGGACATCTCTGCATCTCTTAAGAACGCATCAAAACCCTAAAGGAAAGATAAACTTGCGGGACTCTGCCCAGGAAAGTTGAAATATCAGCTCTGATCAGGCAGCATGCTTAAATTGCTGGAAGTTCTCAGGGGAGAATCAAAATTGACTAAAATGCCCATGGTTTCATGGGCATTAATGTGTGGACTCAAGAATCTTTCATAAGCAAACCAATCTCCATTCAATGTACTGCCGGAGGGGGTTTCCTCGACATGTTTTATTTTCAGGTTAAAGAGATTCTGTAAGACTTCAAAATAGAGAAAACAAGTTTTGGATTGCAACATGAAGAATTTAGGTTAGTTATAGAAAGGAATTCCAAGTTGTACAACACTGAGACCGATTACTTAGGGAGATTTTTTTAGAGACATTTTCTTGAAACGTCATTAAGACCCATCTCTGATTATTTCAGTGAAATCTTGACTGGAAGACCACAAGATCTGTGAAATTCCTTTCGAGCCCAAAGAGGCTTTTTATTTCTAAGAAATTAAATGCCAAGCAGTTAGTAAAACTGAGTTCATTTAGAGATACTATTGTTTAGCCCTTATTTCTCTTTTAAGAGCTTGTCCTGCCAGCTTATTTCATGTCCTCAGATTTTTTTTTAAGAGCAGGCAGTAGCTTGTGAGAGGGTAGTGTAGTGGAAAGCGTACTGACACTAGGAGCCCAGAGACCTGAGTTCTTTCTACCTGGGTTCTATCTCGTCCCTGCTCCATTACTCATTAACTTGATCAATTAACTTACCTTGGCCTCCTCGGCTGCCTTGGAAATAAGAAAGGACCCAAGTCTCCCGCAGCTGGTTTCAAAGCTCTGCTGCTCTTCTGACCCCCAGTGGTGACAGCAGGCAGCTCTGTATGTACACTATGCCGGGCCTCTCCCACATTTCAATGAGAATATTTCCTTTTACAGATGATTTTTCTATAAGATGGGGTTAATAACACCTTATCTCTAGGGTTGTTGATAAGAAAGTCACTGCTATAGATGCTGCAAGGAATGTATGTGGAAAGGATCAGGGCAGAATAGAAGGTTATAGTGTCAAAGCTGCAAAATGACATAGAGAAAAGAATAATTAAACTGAATATAGTGGAAATGAACACTAGTTTTGGAGTCAACGGGCAATCATGTTTAAAGATTTAGATTTAGAGAGACCCTAGTGGTCACCTACTCCAACCAACCACCTCACTTTATAGATGAGGAAACTGAGGCCCCAAAAGATTCAATGACTTGCCCAAAATCACACAGGTAGTTAAGAGGCAGAGCTAGTATTCAAATTCTGCACCTCTAACTACAAAACAGCTGTATTTTTCTCTTTACCACACTGTTTGTGACCTAAGTTCCAGACCTGGCTCAATTACTTATTAGCCACGTGACCACAGGCAGCTTCCCTATTCACCAGCTCTGATGCTCTCTGATGCAGTAAATTTAACCAATATAAATGAATAGTCAAGATAATGCAGACAAAAAAAATCCTTCAATGATAGTTCATAACTATCTCATGTCACTGCCTAAGAATAGCTTACCAACTAATTTTCCCAACAAATGTCATCCTTGGTTTCAAATGTTGCCATCTGTGAGAATACTCATATCAGCCCTAGAGAATACCTCTGCAAGAATCTTTGGAAGGGCAGACAGGGGCGCAATAATTGAGTGGGATGAGAAGGCATGGGTAGATTACAGTCTGCAATGGTAGAGGAAATCCTCTCTGAGGAAATCAAATATCTTTTCCCCAGATTTTTATTTGCTTTTGATGACTAATAGATGACTAAGTTCCAAGTGAACCAATACCAAATTTGGGGGTTGGAGAAGATGTAATTTTATTGTTTAGTGGTTTGTGAAGAGGGGCTACAAAAGCAGTAGAATCTTCATCTCTATAAAACCGACAAAATTGTTTTTTACTGTTCATGCTATCCTGATTTGGGAGTCTCTTATAGGTATAAACTCTATAGAATTTTCTTATCTGATATTCCCTCCTATGAAGTACCCTTTAACTAATAAGTTGAGTAGGTGGTGATGTGGATAGAATGCTGGACCTTGAGTAAGGAAGACTTGAATTCAAATCTAGCCTCAGACACTCACTGTGTAACCCTGGGCAAATCACTTAATGTTTGCCTTCATTTTTCCACTTTAAAATGGAGCAATAATAGTACTTAGCTCCAGGGTTGTTGCAAGGATCTAGCAAGATAATATTCATAAAGCACTTAGCACAGGACCTGGCACATAGTAAACATTTAATAAATACTGGTTTTCTTCCTTTCTTCCTTCTGATATGAAGCTTTGAATACATTTTCCCAAAGAAATAATACCAAAAAATGATAATTACATCTCTAGGACAAGTTACAAAAGTGTATTCGATCCATAATGGGCTTAATGGATGGTACTATATACCCATAGTACTATGAAACCTGAAAACCATGTACAACAGTGTTCCTATGGAAAAGTGCATTCAGTTGCATGTAGAAATACCAGGAATACAACTCTGATACTTCTGCAGGAGAGCTGGAGTCTGTTCCTCCAGTCTGCCAATCCAGTAAGCATTGATCTACCTGCTTTACTTACATGCTTTGTGCTCAACCAAACAGTGGGACCAGGATTTCCTTCAACTCCAAGCCAGTGGCGGTGGTTTTACAGCATGTGACTGAAATCCCCAACTGGACAGGCCTCAAGGTGAGAAATGGAGCTGAGAGGAAAGGACTGAGTTGAGGTAAGGGATGGAGTTAGTTTCAAGCAACAGCAGGCTGAGGGAAGAAAAATATGAACTGAGGACAATAGGAAGGGAAGAGACTGTGTAACCCTACTGGGACAGTAGTTTCTAAGTAGCAATTCCTCTATTAAAGATTATGCTCAAACACTCAAATGAAGAAATAGATTTGTTATATCATGTGATATTATTAATGTAGATGGGCTTTCCAAAGGTGCAGATTACAACCTATCTATGCTAGGCAATTCTTCAACATATCTTTCCATAAATTCACCACATGTGGTCCATTTAATATATTGGAGACCTTCCTTGCTTATTCTTAATGTCATTAAGTAGAGTACAAGGGCTTTCCATGGGTTAAGGATTATATAAATCCTTCATCATGGAATGTTACAGATGAAAGAAACTATATGAATTATGTAGTCCAAATCCTTCATTTTACAGATGAGGAAACTGAAGCCCAGATAGGTAATGTGACATGTCCAGTGTCATATGGCCAACGAGTTACAGAGCTGTAATATACATACATATATGTATATATACATACATGTGTATATACCTATAGATACACACATATTGCATTTATCTCCAAAGTCTCATTATACTTCCAGGGAAAGAGAATTAAAATCCTTAATTTGGTAAGTGTTCTATTCCTATAGAATAGATAGTACATTGGGAACAACCCTTTTCCTACATACATACATACATACATACATACATACATACATACATATGTCTATATATGTATACATATATATGACAATTTCTTGGCAGGAAAGGCCTTTTCAGGAGGATAAGAAAAATTCAGGAGGGTAGTAAACATCCAGTAATAAATTAAGTTGAACTTGTAGCTATATGATGTGGCTTTGGAAAAATGACTTGCTTGTGAATTCTTCTGTATTTTATTTCATATCTATTGGTTCGTGTTACAAAATTCAGAAGTAAAAATGTTCCAAGAACATTGGTGAAGTGAACTGAGGATACATTTGGCACTGTGTATTTTAGTTCTTTATCATCCCAAGTATGTTAACTATTTTCATCTCCGAGAGGAGAACCAAGGAAGGAATAGCTAGGTGGTGATATATAAATCAGAACGATATGTTGTTTCCCCTACTGGATTTTTATCATAAAAAGAAGGAGTCACAAGAAAGAGATAAAGAAATTTGAAAGAAGCACAAAATTAAGTAGAGGGCAGAGAATGGGAAACTGAGGAAATGTGAGTGCAACAATATAGTGAAGGAGAGAGAGTCAGTAAAATAAATGGGAGTGGGAAGAGGCAGGATCAGAAAATATCCTGTGCAAATATATAGACTATTTGTCATCCTCCCTACATCTGTGAATCTCTTTTGCATGCAGACGCTTTTGAAAGTCCTTGACTTCAAAGGCTGCCCTTATGGAAGAAGATAAGAATTGGGCACACAAGGATTAAATAAAATGAAGATTAAATAAATCTGAAAGAAGACAGACATTGAAAGACTCTTAGAAAAAGATATGCCAACATCTAAAAGAAAAGGAGAAAGCTTTCTGTCCAGAATGCTGCCAAAGTATTGTGACTAGAAAATAAAGCCTTAATGTGCAGTGACATGTTTTCTTCTGCATGTCTACAGTGTTGAAACTAATCAAAGGAGGAAAAGTTCCCTATAAATATTTTGGGAACATGTTTAGAATGTTCTATTTTTCTGTCTTTATAAACAGAGCACGGAGGTTCCATTCGCCGGATAGTTATCATAAATTCCAAAGTGGTTCCAAGGAATGCACAAGGGTCCAGAGGTATTTCATGAATCCCTGACCCTAGTTCCTTGCTTCAGTCACTATTGACACCATTGTAGTGGGCTCGTAACAGCATAATTCCCTAAGACAAAATGTTGGGGCTGTCTGGTCTTACCCAATTTCCCGCTCAGTTGTATTCTCACAATAAATATGTGTGTGTCTCTCAAAGTCTCTCTGAAGAACTTTGGAATCAATTATGAGACATGGGAGACACTGGCACTGGACTGCTCCGCACGGCGTCTTGCATCAAAGAAGGCACTGTGCTCTATGAGCAAAGCAGGACTACAGTAGCTTGAAAGAAACATAAGATGCACAAATTTAGAGACATTTCCACTCCAAGTGTCCATATGGACTGTGTCTGACCTGTGGTAGAGCCTCCTGAACTTATGCTGGTTGATCAGCCACAGTGGGACACACTGTACCTCAACCCCAACTTAGTTTTGTCATTTTGGTCCTCTTGGAGAACAAAGGACAACATCCAACCACGTGTGTCTTTTAGGAGGCTATTTTTAAAAAATCAATGCTATCTGTGAAGCAGCCATGTTCTTAGTTTATTTCTTCATTTTTAGACAAAGACAAAGCGATCCCTTTGGAAAGTGCTGAGATCCAGGTTCCAGTATTCAAAAAAACCAAGAATACACAATTTGTCTTCTGGGATTCATTAAGTAGGACTCACTCCACTTGTGCCATTACTTATCATCCAAAGCACATAAACAATTAGGTCACCTATATCTGAGAGTCTTGATGGAGCCAAATTGGAATGGCAAAATGCATGTCTATAAGAATTTTAAAGTGTGGGCTGAAAACTATCTGATGAGAATCTTGTAGTGTTTGTGGATATTAATAACTGCCTCTTACATGGGGTTTTATGTTCAAAAAGCACTGTACACGTGCCATCTCATTTGATCATTATACAATCCCCTTGAGGTAGGTGTTATTTTCATTATTTTATAAATGAGGAAGCATTACAAATAGTCTGATTCCCATCTTACAGATGAAGAATGTCAGAAAGATGAATGGACTTGCTCAGTGTTTCACAGCTACTAACTGGTGGAGCTGGGATTTAAACCCCAGTCTTCTGATGCTAGGTGGTGCAGTGGATATTATGCTGGGCCTGGAGTCAGGAAAACTGATCTTCCTAAGTTCAAATCCAGACTCAGATGCTTTACCAGCTGTGGGATCCTGGGCAAGTCACTTAACTGTTTGCCTCAGTTTTCTCATCGATAAAATGGCTGGAGAAGGAAATGGCAAACCGCTGCGGTATCTTTGCCAAGAAAACCCCAAATGGGGTCACAAAGAGTTGGGCACAACTGAAAAACAACAACTTCTGACCCTAATTCTAAGGTTCTTCCCTGTATGCTACACCCCCTTCCCAGTAAAGCAACAGGATTGATTTTTAAACCAAAATATCGAAACTTAGAGATCCAGATGAGTGTTGTCTTTCAACATAGTAACCCCCAGGATAAGCTGATCACCTGAAATCTCATCACCATGCAGATTGAGTTAGTTTTTGATACTCATTACCTTCTCAACTCCCACAATTGCCTCTCCCCTCTTATTAGATGACTGGGGGTGGAGCCATAAACTCCCCCCCAAAATCTCCCTTTTATAGAGGACTTACCCAGGTAGCATCTCTGCTTGGTTTTGATTCTGAAGAATATTCCCCACCCCCATCCCACGCAGAGTACACCCTGGTGGTGCCTCCCCCCCCCTTTCATCTTCCTTTTGTGTGTTTTCCCTCCCATTGCACCATAAGCTCCTAGAGGGCAAAGAATACCCTTTTTTTCTTATTTGTATCCCCAATGCTTAGCCCAGTGCCTGGCACATGGTAGGCATTTAATAAATGTTTATTGAATTGATTCTTTTCGGTGATGCTGCCACTCAGAACATTTCTAGAACTCCTCTTTGGAAATTGCTTTCAGATTCAAGTTACAAACCACATTAGGAAATCAGTCATTACTTCATAATCACAAGTTATAATTACTTGCATGAAGCTGTAAAGGAAAAATCCTGTAGGGTAGCATCTCCCAACCCAAGGATATGAGTCTAGAGCAGATCTAAAAATAATGGGTAATGGTTTAGAGCAGGCCACTGGTTCTAGTCTTGGATAATTCTAGAAAGGGTCGGAAATCCCATGTTACAACTCAAAGCTCCATGATTTTCTTGGGGTCCTCTCAACTAAGACTGACCTTGAGAGTGATTCCAAAGTCCCCTCCCTCTCCTGAGTCCAAACCCTCAAGGGTGAAATTAGTTCAGAATGAGGCCAGCCTCTATGAGAAAGTAGTTTCTGGTTGGAGTATTTTTTGACATTTTATTCAGGGGCTAGACAATGGGTTTTTAAGGCCTCCCACGATGGAGTTCTCTAATGGGCTGAATGATCCTGAGTTTAAATTAGTCAGAAGGAAGAAAGGCTGAATCAACTGATGAGATTTTAAAATGTGGTTCCAGTATGTCTGCATATTTCACTATGAGGTTTAGGACAGTAAGCCAAGCCGCTGGCTAGACTGCCCTGGTCGGTTTCCCATATAATTACAAGATTGTTTAGTGTAATGGGGGAGTGGGGGAAAAGAAAATCTTCTCATTTTGTTTCCTAACTAGTTACAGAGAAATGAGCTCTTTTGAAGCAAATGCTCAAACTCGGCTGAAACTTAAAATTATTAACTGTTCAATGAGCTTCCTTGCTTTCCTGCATTTCCAATATCCAAGAAGCCTCCTTTGAAGGGTTGCTCCTACTGATTACATTCTCAAGGATTCCTCTCCTTCAGAAAATGAATGGTGAATGAATCCATAAAGCAAAGTGAGGGAGCATAAATGAACAGAGAATAATACAGGGTATCCTAAAATATGGGACACCCTATATTTTAAGCTTTAATAGCTTAAAACTGTACTAAGACTTTTGGTATACTCCATATCAACACCCATTTATAACTTATTATATATATATATTGCACATAAAATTTGCGAACCATTTTCCTTGCAATGATTTTCTGAGCTAAGTAATACAAATATTATTATCCCCATTCCATAGACAAAGAAATTGAGACTCCAAAAGGTTAAATGATTGCCTATGATCGTATAGCTAGGTCTCCTGACTCCAAGTCCTGAAATCCAATCATTATAGCATGTTGCCTTTGGAAGGGCTGATCCTCAGCCCAATTGAAACTTTAACTAGTGTATGAATTTGCCTGAGGAAATTTGAAAAGCTTAGCCCAAATATGGAAACTTCAATCATTTTTCAATGTAGAATTTGTAACTGTTAAGGCAAATCAGTTATACTTCCTTTATCAAATATCTAGTTACTTTTTTTACCACCACAAAAAAAAGTTTCAATAAATATTTTTGTATTTGTACATATGGACCTTTTCCTTTTTTAAAATCTTTTTGGGGTATAGATTTAGCAGTGGTATGGCTGAGTCTAAGGGTATGCCTTGTTTAATAACATTTTGTGTCTAATTTCAAATTGTTTTCCTGAATTATTGTACCCACTCACAGGTCCACCAATAGTATATCAATGTGCCTGTTTTCCCACAGCCTCTCCAATATATATTATTTTCCTTTTTACCACCTTTGCTATTCCTGATGGGTGTGAGGTAGACTCTCAGAATTGTTTTAGTTTGCAGTTTAATTTGTAGTTACTTGGAGCATTTATTCTTATAGCTATCCATAGCCAGAGTTTCTTCCCTTGAAAACTACTTCTTCACATCCTTGTTATTGTTGGTCATTTGTTCTTGAATAGGACCAAAATGACATCATGATGTCAGGGTCATATACAGAGAGTCTGGCCGTGGCTGATCATACCAATAAGCTCAGAACACTACTACAGGTTGGGCACATCCTTAGACATTTGTCAACTGGGGAACGGACCCTATTCTTATAAATTTGAATCAGTTCTTGCAAATTAGACATTTATCAGAGAAACTTGGTTCAAAGATTTTTTTCCAGTTGTTTCCCTTTTCATCTGTACTTCATTGGATCTGTTTGTGCAAAAACTTGATCATTTCATACCCAGTCTCATTAAACCTCTATAAATAATGGAGGATGGAATAGATGAAATTTTATAAGGCTACATAAGGACATCTTGGGTATTGTTACTTCAACAATTCAAGCTGTCTTTAATCCCAGCGGTGATGGAGGATGACAGAGGGGAATTCTATGTTTACTAAGCACCAGAGTAAGATGCACACTTTGTGCCGTTGTTTCCATTCTTAGATATACTATCTTTGGAAGCCAACACATGGCAAATGTGGATACCTTGCTAAACACAAGAGGAAGTATAATTGGAGTTCTAAGGATAAGAGTACTGGTCAAATGGGTTAACTAAAGATTCTGTACTGGGCAGTTCAGGAATGAATTCTATGAAGCAACAACAGCTAAACCCAGAAAAGCAAATTTTGCAACATTCAGTTTGTCTTGAGGATTCAACTGCTTGTTAAAATAAATGTGCCAGATCAAAAAGTAGTTGTTTCATCTGATCCACTGATCATCTTGCTCAAATATTGATATTTTAGGGTGCTTTTTGGTTAATAATCTACTCTATCTACAAAACAGTTTAATTATTTGGTCTCATCTTAGACCATTTTGCTTTTTGGTAACTGGGCTATCTATGGCCCTTTGTCAATTAAGGAATGAAAGGCAGCCTGGTTTAGAGGTTAGAGTGCTGGACCAGGAAAATTTGGATCAAATCCACATTTACTAGCTATGTCACTTGAAATCTCTGCATTTTAGTTAATTCATTAGCAAAATAGCATTTACATCTACAGTACCTGCATCACTGAATGGTTGTGAGGCTCAGATGACATAATGTATGCAAAATG